GCCGATGCATCTTTGGCCGGTTGACTGACAGGAATCCCAGGCAAAGCAGGCACAGGCAGGCACAAGCAGGCACAAGCAGGCAAGCAGAGGCACAAGTAGAGCACTGGCACAAGCGATGGAATGACGCGAGGAGAGGCCAGTGCAGTGGGGCTGCTGACGAAGACAGCAGCCGACAGGAAGACACAGATCTCTCTCCTCTCCCCCTCTCCAATACATCGCGATAGAGGAGAGCAAACAGAGAAGAAAAGAGAGTGGAGAGAGAGTTGCAGGGTTAGGGTATAGCTCGCATTTTGACCCCAAAGCTCGCGGCTTTCGCATCATCCCGAAATCATCTCCCCCGTGGCGCCATCGCTTCTTGGATCGCATTTTCGATTTGTTTGATTGACTGAGCGAGTTGAGTTGTGCTAACTATTGGTTTGCTTAAGGCAAGATGTTGAAGTGGCTGGGAGTGAACAAGAAGAAGCAGAAGGAGGACGAGATATTCGACTCCGTCAGAAGTGAGTGAGATCATTGAGAGAAGCAATCAGTCACTCAGTCAGTCAGTCAGTCACCCACCGCAGCGCCAAGATCGCCGGCGTCCGGTTGGTAAGGCAACCGTGTCCCAGTGCAAATTTCAGCTGGCATACCACTCGATGGGCAGGGACCCTACACGAACACGAACACACACACCCGTGGAAGTCAAGCAAGTGAAGGCCTCTCGCAAACAAACGGAGACACAGAGGGATGTTTACACAAGTGTGTTGTACGTGTGTGAACGTGTCGTGCCTGCTTGATGTGTGCAAGACGACGTGGGTGCCTGTCTGCCGGGCCGCGTGAGCGAGGCGGAAGGAAGGAAGGGAAGAAATGCTAAGAGACATGATGCGGGCGGGTTTCCGTGTGTCGGGCCACATTTCTTGTCTACATATGATTTGATGGATAATCGAGTGGATGAAGTAACACTGTCTGCACAGTCACTGATGCACACGCCCACTACTCGGTAGCTAGGGAAAGTCACTATGGAAATCAGCTATCGGGACAAGTGCATGCACGAGACCCCACAAACCCACAAACCCACCCATCCACCCCTCCACACGCACTTGACGCAAACAGCCGTGAGCCCCCGCTCCCGCAGCCAACAACACACACGATGTACCTACTCGGGATGATGACTACCTGCCTTGCCTTACCGTACGCTACTGGCACCGTGGCACGGCAATGCCGCTCTACCTACCCTACCTACGCACGCACTCAGGAACAGAAAGAAATGGACACATGTTCTGTACGTCAAGACATCTACTAGGGCCGAAAGCAAAACCCCCTACCCCCGCCAGCCAGCCGCATCAGCCCCGTGCATCTATACATGTATCTACCACAAGCCGGTTCTCCGGCCTGATTCGTCGGCTCCATTTTCAATTCTCTCACGAGCAGGAACCCTACACGGACAGACACACACACACACACACCGTCCGTCACGCAGGCACAGTATCGCCCCGGTTGGATGGCTGGCGTACCACGCACGAAACTTGGAAGGGGATGTTCGAGGCGGGGCACGGCGCATTGCAGCTGTATGTTCCTTCGATCTGGCCTGGTGTCGACTCGCTGCCCTGGTAGGTGCACGGACGGCCGTCGCAGTTGTCGCCACCGTAGCGGTTCAAGGTCCACGAGCCGCCCGACTGTGTCACACGCATGTTGTACCTGGCAACAGACAGACAGACAGACACACACACAGACGTTTGGTGGCAGAACTTCTTGATGAAGTGATTGACTTACCAGGCAGTTGCGCTTTCGTTGTTATTGAAAAGTTCGCAGCGATAGTCAGATCCTTGCAAGATGCAGTTGCCGTACCACGTCCACTGATGGCCCTCCTTAATTTGGAATTGCGGCCCGAGTTGGAGCCGCCGCAGTGTCAAGCCGTCTGCCAGGAAGGTAACCAACACACACGGGGCGATCCATGGTAGGTGCGCAAACAAGCGATCGCTTACCTGTGTCATCGGTGGCGTTCAGGGGCACACCACCTGCACACAGGGGAGACACATACACACACACACAGACATTGGGCGTCCTTCTGTGCGGATGGTGTGTGAGTACCCTGGACGGGGAGGGGAGTCCCCTCATCACGAAGCCCACGCAGCTGCACACACCGCAAGCCGACGCACAGCCAGTGCTCAATGAACCACTCACTCATTGGCGTGTCTGCCTGTCTGTTGTGTGTACCCTACCGTCTGGTCGGCCGCCGCCAGGGCACAGAGGA